TCTTCCCTCAGGAGTACACATAAATCTGATACTTGATTTCATCACTGACAGAACCCATCTAGATAGGAATCTCCCCCGAGTATATCCACATTTCAGCCCTCATATTTCGGCAGACTTAACATGCTGTGAAGCATTCCTACTGTAATTTGTGTCTCTGCTCTGATTTGGGAGAGGGGGGAGGTCGTGTCTGGTACAATTAAGAATTGGGAACAAACGACTGCAGATGACAAATGATTGTCACGCAGAGTACAGGACTCATTATTTGTAAGCTTTCCAACAACTGCAATCTCAAATCAGCACTTGGTTAATGTATATTGTATCTGAACCAAAACAAAATTTGCTATTTCACTTATCCCCCCCCCCCCAAAAAAAATTAACCTGACCTACTTGTACATTGCTGCCCAATTGCCAACCTCCAACTTTTTATTTAGCATATTTAGCCAACAATTTGAAATACGGGAACGTGAAATTGTGCAACTTTTTTGTGTATTATTGGTTAAACAATATAAAACAGGTAAATAGAGTGCAATTAAACATACCTAAAAGTAAACAAGTTTTGTTTAAAAGGCTGACACACAAACATGAAAAAAATGTACAGATAGGGCCTACAATTAATGTCCTACATGTACTTACATGTACCTACCCGGATAATTTTTAGGGCGTTACAGTAAACACACAACTTTTTCGGCCTTATATCTTTTACCTGGCAAAATGTTATGGCATTTCAAACAGTTCCTCCATTGACATTTTTTTTTAAAGCATAGGATCATTTGCTATTCATGTATTTTACTCATTTCCAATATAGTAACACCATTCAAAATCCAAAGAAGGCCTAGCCTGTTGAAGTTTCAGCTCAGTGGTTGTTACATTTTTTTGAGAAAACAGTGAAAAACCATGCACACCTTTTTGATCACATTTATAACAAGATTTTGTCCATGGCACTCTACATGTAATTTCCAAATTTCAGTCAATTGACTTATCGTTGGAAATCACCTACATATTGCAGTAAATTTCTTGATTTCTTCCAAATGACAGAAAGCCAGACTGAATAATTTCACAGGGTGTTTAGTACCAGTACGATCTTTATTCCGAGTAAGCTTTTTGATAATAATGCGAATGATCCTACCGGTACATGTATGCCTTTACGTGGCACAACGTCCCCTACATGAGCACGTTTTCCATTTCTAATTTTAGCTTCTAGTGGAATTATAAACAAAGGTTTGGATAAAAATAACAAATTGCCAAAAGAAAAAAAACAACGTTGACACGATTCTGTAATCAAAAGGAGCCTGCACTAATAAATATGCCAGTCATATTCCATATTTAGCATCAATGAGTGCTCATGACGTCCAAAAATGTCAAAGGTGAAAGAAACATAAAAAGAGCGTTTATCAGCGGTATCGGATGACAATGCAAAAAAAATCTTTCACGGCCTGTCACAAGTCTCTGTTGATGAATGATCTTTCAATGTGTTTTTTTTTTTTAAGTTTTTGCTTGAACAAAACCAGTAAAGTAAGTACTGTTTCTTGTACAATTTGGCAAGAGAAAATGTACATTGCATTTTTCATAAAATTGAGTTTTACATTGCGTTTTTCATAACATTTTGTTTTATGAAAAATATTAAAATGTTTAAAAAACAAAAAGTTGTTAGAGTTTTCAGCCTTCAGGGTAACTTTTTAAGCATGCTTTATTTTGCAAGTGAGATTTGATTCAATTGTTACAGTTGCACGAAGGACAACATAAAATAGACTCGCAAATTCATCAAAAAGCCACTGTCAAGACAAATAAACTACATGTAGATCATTTTTTTTATGAAACAGGTTTTGCAGGATTTTTGCCCATCCAGTAATCAGCAATTCCTGGTTTTTATACATTGTACAGTCGTATGTTCAAAATAAACGTGTACATTTTTACAGCATTCGTCTGTGTAAAACTTTTTTCAAAGTATTTTGTAAATACTTGTAAGTCTTAATATTCCAAGTCTGTTCAGCCAATGCATTTTTTCTTGTGAATTATACTTTGCTTCACTTTATTTATTGACATGTAAAGCAGGGCCCAATGGAAACCACTTTTAAACAGTTTGGGCATACCCTGGGTAAAAAAAATAGTAAATAACTACCGGTAAATAAAAAAATTAATACATCTACGGTTTATTAACTTGCTTTGACACCAGTGTTCTAGCAAGGCATTAAATAGCACTAGCACCTGCTACGCTTTTGGAAAGCGCTACGCTTCAATTGCGCCGCTACGCTACCGCTAACCCACAGCTTCGCGCTCCCTCTCGCATGGTCCTCGGACCAAATTGCACCCACGCTATAATTTCACCCTTGCTAGAACACTGTTTGTCACACATACCCATAGAAGATAGTTTTGATATAATATGTTGGAATTTTTTTCTCTCTAACTGCATTTTCTGCATCTGTTTCAAATCCTAGGCATTTGAGTTTGACTAATTACTGCAGCATATGGCAACCTTGCAGGGTGGTACCAAGTCTCTGGCTAAGTCACCCAGGAAGAATGAGAGCGCTGGGTTAGGTGCTGGAATGCGCAAGTGATGGGAGAATGTCCATCATCGCATCCTCTGATGCCAATTGGCAAATGCCAGGCTGGATGTGACTTGAGCAATCCACAAGGGACTTATCAAAATATCTTGTTTTGAGGCAAGCACATCTATCATATCATCACTTCACAGCACATGTACACAGTTATTGCTTTAAAAACCTTATTTCAGGAATTTCCTCCTGAAGTCAAATTTCAGCTCTGCACTTTTTTAAAATTGGATCAACCCACCATCCCAATCTGCAGTTTCTGGCAAAGTTTCCATGAAAACTATGGATTTAAAAACTGGGACTGGAAGAATAGAGGTTTAAAAAGGGGCCTTTTGTGGGGGACTTGTATACAAGGGGCTGTCCCACCATTAAGTAACGACCCACAATTGTCACGGAAAAATAGAGTAGGGACTGCCCCATCCAAATACGTTTGATATGAGCCACGTAACAGGAAATGAGTGCATTAGTTTGTTTGAATACACTACAACCACTTTGGTCATGAACTGTCAGCTAACATTCTATTTTCAATCTGTTTTGTAGACCATACATATACATTTGGACGCACCAGCAAAGATTGCTCATGACGAAATACAAAAAAAGTGAAAAGACTGGCAGGGGGGGGGGGGGGGGGAGAAACGAACATGGTTAGACACAATTAACAACGACCTCAAAACTCCTAGGCAGCATAGACCTGAACAAGGAGACCAATGACAGAGCTGGCTGGAGACAACAGATCAGACGCGCAATGTTTAATTGAAAACGAGTGCGCAACAGACGATGACATTTTGATGAGTATATTTAGAGTTCATTTCCAAACGTTACGCCTATTCATTTTTAAAGTGAGAAAGTCGGACGTTTATGAAAACTTATGGAACGAATACATAACACAGCAGGAGTTTTGTATTCTTAAATTGTGTTGAACTATGTATCTACATAACAGCTGTCGAAACTGACTTTGGCCAACCAAAAGAGAGGGCAGGATTCCAAAAGGTGACGAAATGGCATTTATCGCGTTTTCGAATCAGTCCTACAAAATTGTTCTCTTTTGACACATTTAGTCAACAACTACTTGTACAAAACCGGTTTTTATGAAAATTTGCTGTGTACAAGTTCGTTGAGCGTTAATGTCGAATTGTGGATAGCTTTGCTTTCTGTCAATATGCTTTCACTTAACACGCTTAAAGTAGAAACCGGGGCACTTTTCCCTTTGCCAAGATTCCGCTTTGATGTAAATGTCATGCTCTACTTAAGTCTTTTCAAGCGTTGTGTCTGATTAAAAAAAAAAAAATATTTACGGTATTATCCATCCTTTGTGTCTTGAATTTGTATTGTTGCTCATCAGAAGGCATAAAATATATAGATATTTTGGAAGTGGCACTTATGTACAAGCCCAACTTATTGTACATAGGATTATATTTGCTTTTTGTGGATTTTTTGTTTGTTTGAAGCAACAAAATTGCACAAAATCTTAATCTAAAGGGTGCAATTTCTAACTTGTTGAAGTTTCAGCTCAGTGGATACTATACATTTTGAGAAATCAGAAAAAAACATATGCACAATTTTTTGGGTCTTGTAACAGGATTTCGTTACTAACTCATAAACCACCTTCAACCACTGTTTTCTTCTGAATGATACCATTTCAGGCGGGTTAATTTCACAGGGTATTTGGTTCCAGTCCCATCTTCACTTTGAGCAAGGATTTTCTCGTTAAATCGATGGGTATTTCCGGGTAATAGCAAATTTACCTTTAAAGGGAATGTACATCATTGGCTTTTGCTTTAATTTTCAGAAATGAACTATTTGAGGGGTTAGTATAATAGATCAAATTATTGTTGCCCTGACATGTTTGAAGTTTTGTGTTCGGAAATGCTGGAAAAAAACAAAAAAAACAAAAAAATGTTCAAGCAGTCTGGTTCCCTGACTCCACTGAAAATTAAATGGATCAATTTATAGATGCCGGAAAATTGTACCGTAAGGGAACCAGTCTAGCTGGCCTGCCCCCATTCATGAACATGCAACCAATAGGAAACAAAATTTGGACTGAAGAAAAAATGGCAAGTTTGGAGCAGCAGTTGAAAAATAGTTAGGTTTTTCCAACGGTGGTCGGCCGACCACCGTTGGAAATGTATACAAAAATACCATTTACTTGAAAATGACTTCACACCAGGTGCCATAATTTTACAGCATGCTTTAGACTGTCATTTACCAACATCCTGTTAGGTATTTTGTAAAAACTTGGTAGTTTTATTTTTCGATGCTTGCAAATGTTGTAATTTCCCTTTAATGAAATTACCTCAAATCCGTCAAATTCTGTACTTTCACATCATCAGGTTTTTTTTCGGTTTGCTTAATTTGTCTTTCATTTTAACATCAGCAAACCGTATTTGTCCTTGGCATTTGAAAGCTTTTAAAGATAAATTCATTATCTGATTTTAGGTGCCCCATCCCTACCTTGGAATCCCAGTCCTTGTTGAGGTAATAGATGCAAGTGACACACCGGCCGTCCTTGTTAGGGTTGTCAACATGCTTGACATAGTGGGCTCCTTTACCCGGATAACAAGCCACCATTGCCTGCAAATTAAACACAAAAATATATGGTCACTACTTCCAATTTTTTTTTTTTTAATCAAATAGATTATTATATTCCATCTATCAAAACCATCATAATTTCCACTATTGGTTTTGAAGTACTGGATGATCCTTCAACATCGATCAAAATAGCATTTAAAATCAACCGTGGGTTTTGGAGGATTTTGTAAGATTGTGGAAGGTTCACATGTACCCAAATCATTCTTACTTTACATTGGCTTGGGGCCCTATAGTTAAAATATTACACACAAACTCGTGTACAAAAAAATTCAACATTGGTTTCCTGTCCTGCATGCTCCTAGATTTTGAAGATTCCAAGTAAAAATGTCTGGAGGCCTTTTCACACTACCATCTAGCCTACTCTTGCTGAAATCAACATAGGTACATGTAGGCATACCGTACATAAGCACAAACGGGTCCCATCTAACAAGGGTGGGTATTAAAGTGTACTGCTCACACTTAATCGGGTTGTACCCCGGTAAACAAGTCGTCATTAGATTTTTGGATTTTCTACCTGGGTAAAGAATCTTAACCCAGTCCCTGACCAGGGTTGGATTTTAACCCGGGTAGAGCACCAGATCAGTGCAGGAGCCGTGTTGGATTCTTTCTAGTGTGAAAGGGGTTCCTGATCTGTGTTGGACCCAGTGTTCTAGCCAGGCATCAAATAGCGCTAGCACCCGCTACGCTTTCGGAAATAAGCGCTATGCTTAAATCGCGCCGCTACGCTACTGCTACGCTATAAATTTTGGTTGCGAAAAAAAAAAAATCTGCCGTTTGTTCGTATACAAGCGCAGCGACTTTGAGCATTGCGCACTGGCCGTACGACTCAGCGAAAAATAAACAACGATTCCACTGCACCGCACGTACCCCGTACGATACCCCTACCGTGATGCTGCGCCACACGCATTCGCTATGATACATGTAGCAATAAGCACGTGCTATTTTGTGCTGCGTAGATACAGCGCTCCGTACGACGTACGTGTCACCATGTCACGAACAGAGCGCTCTGTGGACCACACCATTTTGCGGTATCGGGTGTGCTTTCCTATAAAGGTCAATATTTACAAGCATTTCAACTGTTTAAAAATTATAAATAATACTTTTTATCAAGTCCGAAACATGTTACTGTTTGAAAATAAGTTCTTCACGTCGGAACATAATTTTCGTAAAGGATTTATTCGAGAAACGATGTCCAAAGAAAGGTTAAGCACCCCTACGATATCAATGGATCCGTCCACAAGATGGCCGCACGTGAAGAATTCTTCTCGAAGAATGTCGCTGTCGAAAATTTCAATTTTTGACTACACTACTCGTTGCTGATAATAACAGTTCGATAAGTTTGGTAGTAAAAACGGATCTGTTTGTTCTTAGGACAAAACCAATCAGCAAGTATTGCAACAAAGCAAGTTTTTTAGCGCTCCACGAATGCGTTGCTTTCTCAAATGCTGAGGGAAAATTTGGTCGCGTAGTTCGCCGGCGTAGCCGGTGTGGGCTGGCCCGCGCCCGCACGCCGGGCCGGCCGGGGCCGGCCGCGGCCGGGATAGGAAGCAAAATTTCCCGGTGATTATTTCTCATCGTCATTATCTACAATTATATTATTTAACATAACAAAAATGAGATTTCTCCTTCACATTGTGTTGTAGCATATTGAAATTGCAATCGCCGACAACTTTTTCTGTCTGGGACCTCCATGGTTTTACAATTTCTCTCCCTGCCGATCGGATGGTTTTATTTACAAATTTAAAATCGGAACTACTGCTACTACGGCAGCGCTACACAACACAAGGCTTCTTGAAATATGAACGCAAAATATGAAAAGTTCATGCGATTTGTTCTCGCACTTAATTTTGACAAAGTAAATCCCAATTTTTTATAAAACATTGAGGAACTACTAAAAATGGTTAAACATCAGAAAGCATCGATCTTGGAACAATTTATACAAGTTAACATAATCTAAAATTTGAAAACAGAAGAAACTTTACAGGAGCAAGAGTATCAATCATTGAAACAAATAAAAACAAAATTTCTTATAATTTTAAACACTTCTGCTAAAAAAAAAAAAATCAGGGGAAAGTGGCAGGGAATCGCCTCAGATTGCACCACAGAGCATCTAGAGTCCAAAATTTTTCGGGGCCCTTAAGCGGGCCCCAGACCCCACGCCGTAAGGGCTTCGCGCTCTGCGCTCGCATTAGTCGTCGAACCAAAATTACCCCTACGCTATAATTTCACCCTGGCTAGAACCCTGGTTGGACCCAGGTCCAGCATGGATATTTTGGATAGAGGCCTGGGCCCTTTAGTTTACGGGAAGAACTTTACTTTAACCAGTAGATCCATGCCAATTTTATCACTCATGGGGCTGGATGTTCCAACTTTCTTTTAACCCTAACCCTTCAGCTTACTTTTGGGTGAGAACCACATACCACATACTACTACAAAAGTTATGCATGCAGTAGTACCCAAATATTAAAAAATACTATGAGTGCTGTGCCCACTTATACATGCTGAAGTACTGCATACTTCAATTTACTACATTTTGTAGCTTTAGGTGAGGTTACGGTTAAAGTAATAAAGGCTTTGCCATCAGCTAGCAGCACTGAGGCTGACTGCAGAAAGTTCCAGAAGGTTAACGTTCCTTGGAAAATTCCTACACGCTGAAGGTTCTGGTTAATAACTAAACCAAATAAACTTGTAACGTGTGAGAGAGACGGGGCAGCGAGAGAGACGGAGCACTAGAGAAATTTTGGCAAGAAAACATGTTTGGGGTTTTAAAGTCATGTTATCTCAAGTTGCCTACACATGCGAGGTTCAGTATGCGGCTATGGATCAAATAAAATGAATTCTCGGCTTTTCAAAAAAGTTAATTTCTACAAGTATCGCAGTCTTTGTCTATCAAAAGCTATTTGTAAATCAAGTCCAGTTTTGCTATTTTTTTCATATAATTTGTCCTCCAAAAATACATCTGGAATTAAACAATTAAAAGCTTTTGGCGGATAAGCTTTAAAAAAAAATTCCAATTCATGAAAAATTAATTTTTCATATTTTACATCATACATGTATCACATTTGTTTTCATAAAATAATTAAAGAGGATATCTGTGAATAAGTGCAAGCTTCCAAGAAAAGTTCTTTTGCCCAAAAATATTCATTATTGAAAATGTGTGGGAAAATGAGTAGAAATTCAATCATGCATATTTACTGCTGCCTGATCAGCTTGTCATCTTTAAAGGGAATATACAACATTTGCAAACATCGAAAAATAAAACTACCAAGTTTTTACGAAATACCTCACTAGGATGTTGGTAAATGCCGGCCTAAAGCATCCTTTAAAATTATGGCACCTGGTGTCAAGTCATTTTCAAGAAAATTGTATTTTTGTATACATTTCCAACGGCGGTCGGCCGACCACCGTTGGAAAAACCTAACTATTTTTCAACTACTGCTAAAAATTTACAATTTTTTTTCAGTCCAAATTTTGTTTGCTATTGGTTACATGCATGTTCATGAACAGGTGCAGGCCAGCTAAACTGGTTCCCTTACCTTACAATTTTCTGACATCTATAAATTGATCCATTTTATCTTTAGTGGAGTCAGGGAACCAGACTACTTAAACATTTTTGTTTTTCTTGGTTTTTCAAGCATTTTCGCAACACAAAACTTCAAACATGTCAGTTAAACAATATTTGATCTATTATACTAACCCCTCAAATAGTTCATTTCTGAAAATTGCAACAAAAGCCAATGATGTATTCCCTTTAACTATGGTAGGCCTACCTATTTGAAAAATAAAAAAATTAATTAGATGTATAGATTTTATATCGATTTAGATGTATGGACATTGGAAAAATGATTTAGAGTAATTTAGATGTATTGTATGGACATTGGAAAAACAAAAAACTTAACAATAAGTTTTGGCAGATTGAATGTAGAGCTACTATAATACAAAGCACTCTGGAATCTTCATTAAATTCAGACATACCGGTACATGTACATTTGCAAGAAGACAATTCCCTAGAAAACAATTTTGCCACGAGCATATTCAGCCATTTAGATCTTCCAATCACTTTTTTTTTTTTTTTTGAAGCCACCCACACAAGCGACCTTTGACCCACAGAACACACACACAGGCTGCGTGTGTACGTGCAGAACCACGCATTGACTGAGTCTATTTTGGAACTGAAAATGGTCCAGGCGGCCGGCGCATGATTCATGCGAGCAAGACTCACTGCGCAAACACCACAGTTCTTGAACTCTGCTCTTCAAATGGAACCGCAAATGAGCGTGGATGGAGTACAGACATGAAGGCCGGTACACGATCCGTGCTTAAATGATACCAAAAAAACATCAATTCAACAGATTTCTCCTTGCTACTGGCAAAAAAAGAGTATTTTTAGGCTTTCAAGCAGACCCAGGGGAAAAGTAGGACAATAGTAGAATTTAAAAAAAGATAAAAGTAGGACTTTGGAAGACAAAATCAGGATAAAAGTAGCTGAGGACTTTTGCGGGCTTTCAGGAGTAGTAGGAAACAGACCTAACGACTTAACGAGAAAAACATTGCTCTAAAAGCGAAAAATGGTACCAAAATACGTTGGGACAAAGAGGACATCATAAATCTCATTTGGCATGTTCTGTAACACTTGTGCTCCGTCCTCAACTACCGGTAAGCTCTCGGAAGTACAGTTGCAGTACTCCTGCGCCCAAGCCCTTCATTGTGTAATTTACATATGACAGTGTGTAACACTGACATTATGAAACATATGCAATGATATTTCACTTTATGGAGTTGTTGGACAAAAAAGTAGGAAAATGTAGGAAATAAATGTAGTAGGAATTTCAAGAAAAAGTAGGAAAAGTAGGAGCATAGCTCCATGGTAGGAACAAGGTAAAACAAAAATAGGAAAAAGTAGGAAAAGTAGGAATACTTGAAAGCCAGTATTTTGGGGGTTTTTGGGGGGGAGGAACAAAAAAATTAAAAATCAGTCAAAA